CTCGTACGCACAACTTAAGAACAAATCTGTGCGTACGAACAGTTCTTGCATGAGGCCCAATGCCTCCATAGGCTACTTGACAAAAAAATTATAATACTAAAATTATCCATGAATTAAAAACAAATGTTTTGCATTCCTCCCACACTGAAAGACAGCCTCTCTCATTTGCAAGTACAGCTGCAAAAAGGAAGTATGAAAAACATTAAGTAAAAATGAAAGCATGGAGATCAATACGCTCAGGAGGAGAAGAATATGCAAGGAGAGAATTGAGATTTTAAAACTAGTGTTTCATTAAACAAATACATTGCAATAAAAAAATCAGGGAAGTACAGCTGGAATTTTTTTTAACTATTTACGTAGCTTTAGTTTTAACACATTTTTTTAAATCTACAAACATTACCTCTTATGTTAATTTTACATAATGACATTGCGATACTAGTTATTTTTTAAACAAAAGCTTAAAAACTTTAAAAAACATTTGATCCTTTATGTAAAACAAGAGATGACTTATTATCATTGTAATTCTAATGTTATTTAGTGATGCTATTATTTCAAGCTTCAACAAAAGGTTTACAGGGCTTCTGTCTGATTTGAATCGATCACTTTATTCACCATTTTAACCATTTAAAAAGCCATAAAAAGATCTTCCTGTGCCCAGTGATGTATCAGTTGTTTTTCTTCAGGAGCAGTGTGGGAGCTACACCTTCATCCCTTACGTGGTGTCGCCTCAGGGCAAAGTGTTAGCCTGCGATGCTAYGATGATGTCTTGTATCAAAGACCTGATGCAGCCCAGTATCCAGCTGGAGCCTATCCTCACTCCGCTGGTGGATCGACTGGTGCATCTGCTAAACAACGTGCACATTCAGCCCAGGTGAGACACGCCCTCCCTGCTAGTGCTGTCATGCCGTTTCACAATCTTACGTTAAGATTGGGTTTATTTAAGGTTGTGAAATGTTGGAATCTCTTCTTGTCTCTGCGACAGCGAGTACTTCCGGGAGTCGGTGAGGCAGGAGATCAGACTGGCGCGGGAGCGGTTCAGTGGCAAAGCCCTGAGCGAGGAGCTGAGCCGCATCCAGGAACGCTTGGACAGCGTCGATCTGCTCACTCCTGATATAGTCCTGAACCTGTTGTTGTCCTACAGAGATGTTCAGGTGTGTGTTTAAAGGAGACCAATTATGGGTYCTAGAAATTTTTATGTTATGTCTGTGGGCTATCCAGACCRTGTTCATTCAATTTAATGCACAAAATAATTCTCAGATAATAAAATTTCCCATTTTCWAGTTCTGCCTGCTCTGACTTCCGTTCAGAAGAGCTGTTTATGTTGAGCTCTGTTGGTAACGCCCTCCAAAAATCTGTTGGCATTAACTCCGCCCTCCAAAACCAGCGTTTACGTTAGCATGGCTAATAATAGCAGAAGCTCCGTTGTACAACCGTATGAGACCCTGAGTGAGACCCAGAGGCAGAGTCATGGTCGCAGCTTCTTCTTTTTTTCCTCCCCCTCCTCTGCTCTGCGCTCTGTTACCAGAGCAGGGAGCAGCAGCGGCCAAAATACCTCAGAAACTTGAACAAATAGGCTTTAACAAGGCTTTAATAAGCTAAACAATAGAGGTACATGAGAAAACATGTTCATAACGAATGAAAATAAATAATTATATTGTGTCCGTGCCGGTCTCAAACCCTGGTCTCCCACTCTCTGGTCCAACACTCTACCCATTGCCCTATTGGAGGCTTGTTGTGAAATGAGATGCACATTGCACAACAACACAGTGAGGCTCTTAAACTGAAGGGGAGGAGCTTCACCCGGGGGTTGCWAGGTAAGGGGCTGAACGCAGGTTCCGGTGGGTTGTCGTACGGCTTGTGACATCACAAAATGACGGAAGTATAAAACTTGCCATTAATATACTTTAAAAATACATTTACTTACAGTAAATATGCCCCTGGGTGCATTTTTTGGTCCTTGGACTGTTTTTTTTAAGAAGTACATACCCAAAGTTGAGTAAAAAAACCTTTAAAAAGTGAATTTTGCATAATAGGTCCCCTTTAAGGGTTGCAGTTGTCCTTTTATGATTACACATGTGCAAAATACACCTTAAAACGTAAAAAAATACATCTTCAGATTTGATATCAAATCAATAATTTTAAAGTCGTAGTTAAAGTAATTACTTGTGGGGATACATGACAATTCATTGTGACTTGGCTCTTTTCCTTCCTCAGGACTATGATGCCATGATTAAACTGGTGGAAACACTGAATAATCTACCCATGTGTCAGGTGGCAAAGCATCAGCATATCAAGTTTCACTACATCTTTGCTCTGAACAGGTAACCACACCTCTCCTGCTGCATTTTGTCAAATAATTGTAAGCTCGTCTGTTTTGGCTTCAGTTGTGTGTTTCTCTGTGTGAAGCTTTTATTTGCTTTCTAACCTATTAAAAGCAACGTTTTGTCAAAGCAGCTTCACTGCTAACACAATCCCATTTTCCTTCATATCAGGAGGAATAAACCTGGAGATCGCGCAAAGGCTTTAACAGAGATTCTGCCTATTGTGGAGTCGGGGAAGAAGGTGGCATCAGACGTCTACTGCCTGTGTGGACGGATCTACAAGGACATCTTCATGAGCTCATCATTTACTGACACAAACAGCAGAGACCAGGCCTGCTACTGGTACAGTTTGTCACATCGTAGCACATTTGCACACCTGTGAACTGTCCTGGCGATGGGACTGTAGACAATTTCTACACTTATTTTTATGGATTTGTTCTTTTTTTTTCCAGGTATGAAAAAGCTTTTGCAGCAGAGCCAACCTTTCACTCTGGTATCAACAGCGTGGTCCTCCTGATGGCTGCTGGACATGAATTTGAGACTTCTATTGAGCTGCGCAAAATAGGTGAAACAGGAAGAATCTTGTTTACATTTTCCTTATAACGTGAGCGATCTGCCTATATTTGTGTACAGTATCATCATCTGTCAATTTGTTATAACATGTACTCTGTGAAACTATGTTAACGTGTAGGTGTGACCATAAGCACGCTGCTTGGTAGGAAGGGCAGTTTGGAGAAGATGAAGGACTACTGGGATGTCGGCTTTTATCTCGGAGCAAACATCCTGGCTAAAGAGCACAGGAAAGTCATTGAAGCGTCAGAGAAGCTCTACAGGCTCAAGGCCCCTGTTTGGTGAGGTTTGACGGCTTCTTGTTGTTCAGTGACAGTTGTGCAGATCATGTGCACCTTTTGAATTCACTGCCTCTTATTGATCGTGTGCTGCCATTGGCCAAAAGGGTGACTATGTTTTTTTCTCTGTTTATGTCTTTGTTTGTTTATTGTGTTAGCAAACTATCTCATGAACCAGTTGGATAGATTTTAATGAAACTCATTAGGATCTACCTCTATAACTGATAACATGCTTCTTATTTATAAGATGATATTAGTTTAAAGCTTTGACATGAAAAGTGGTGGTTCTTCAAGAAAGGTTAGGTCTTTAATTTATTTTTTAAGGGTTCAATAGTGGTGTCCCGATACCAGAAATGGACCCAGGCACCAGTATTTTTACAAGTACTAGTACTCGTTCAAAATGCCCCGATACCCTGAACGATACCCATACCAAATTCGATACTCAATTGACTGTGTTACAGTTTACATTTCAAGTGAAACAGCTGTCAGTTTCATGTTTAGGACAAATRCAGTATACAGGTTGAAAGAAAATCACATTTGTTATTTTTATTTGAAAATGTTGCAACAGTATAAATCATGCTGTATGTTTGATTTGAGAGGGGCTACAGCCACGCTACAGAGAGACACCTTGTTCTAAATAAAATAAATGCTTTTTCAAATTAATGTTTAGGTTTTAACTCAGTAAGTATTATGTATCGGTACTTTGTATCAGTGAGTACCCAAACTTGAGTACTCATACTCATTTTGAGAAAAACTGGTATCTGGACACCCCTAGTAATCAGAGACAACTTATTAGTCTTTCTCCACGTTGACACAGTTGTGTTGTATTTCCTTTAGGTATTTAGTGTCCATTATGGAGACGTACATCCTGTACCGTCAGTTTTCCAAGCCGCCTGAAGTGAAATCTCCCAAACAGGATTTAGTGGACTTCTGGTTGGAGCTGCTTCTGCAGTCCTGCCAACCCACCATCTCAACAAAAGGCTGCACAGTAAGAGAACCCAGATCATTCTCACAAAAACTGAAAAACCAAAAACTACTTTAATCGTCTCTGAAAATTATCAGAACATCTGTCCACCTCTCCTCAGCTGGATGTTTAGCTTTAAAAACAAACCTTCAGCAGACACCTTTATTGGAAGCCATGTGGACGTTCTGAAATACTGGTGTTGAGTAGTACGTGTGTTTGAATCGCTCTTTCAGGTGCTCATCCTGGAGCCGAGTAAAGTCCTTCAGCCAGCTGTGGTGAGCGTGAGTGAAGAGGACATGAGCCGCACTGTCCAGTTAAAACATGTCACACCTTTAAAGGTATTAACCTCACCACCACCACCACAGTCAGTGTACCTTTTGGTCATGGGATTTTCATTTTGGAAACGGGTATTAAAAAATAAGAAACGAGTGGWTATTTGATTTTTGTTTTAAAATACTAAAATTAAAATATGAAGCGTTTCTCATTCTTTGTGTCAAAAAGGGATGAACGAAATTTTAAAAATGATTTGAGTTTTATTTTCTGTTTCTGATAGCATAAAAGAAAATTACTTTAAGACAGAAACGAAAAAAGGCTCGTTTGTTGTTTTATGACTATATATTCCCCCACCAGAAGGGGCGCTCGCCTGGCAGCTCTGCATAATAAAACACAAATTTCTGTGAATAAAAGGCTGAAACACAGACGTGTATGATGACTGTCGCTCTGTGACCAAAGGCTTTGCAGAGATACTTCGTGTGGCTTTTGGCCAAATAAGTTTCTTTTACTGAATACATGTCGGCTACTGCCACCTCTTCCACCTCCATTTCTCTCAATAAAAAGCAAAATAAGACAAAAGCTGAAACTCAAACTCAAACTCCCCCAGACCCGCGACAAACTCGTCAAGACTTTACCTGTAGCTCCCAAAAATAACAGGAAACTTAAACGCACCGTCTGTGTTTTAACAAAACACCCCAAAAAAACCTGTAGCTGTCCCAACAACTCATGAGGAAAACTCTGAACTGTCTGATTTCCTCCCCCGCAGCGCTCTGCTTGTCTCTTCACTGACTGTCCCCTCCTCACACACACACACACACACACACACACGTTTGTTCTTCTATCCTCATGGGGACTTTGCACTGACTTTCATTCATTTACCAGTATTTTGTATTACCATTTGAGCCTAAACCTAGCCTAAACTTTACATGGGATGTGAACTGGGCTTATGTCCCCATAAGAAACAGTGGGTCCTCACCAGGCTGTGTAGTTTGCTTCATCTCTAAAGAGTTGCTGCTCTTTAATATTGTTTATTTACTGTCTTAGATGTGTGTTGTTTAATTTACATTTTGTTGTTCTTTGTTTTTTATTCAAATGCATTTTTTGTTAGAGACTGAGTCCACTTTGTTAAACATTCTATAAAAATTAAAGTTTATTGATTTATTACACTTACATATTACGCTTTTATAATTATTAGTTGTAAAACGGTCACCAGGCAATATTATCGCTTATCGCAATAATTTTTGAGACAATTAATCCCCCAGCAAAATTTGTAATCATGACAGGCCTAACAGTAAGGTGGCACGACCTGTCGTGGAATATGAACAAACAAGGCTTTTTTTCCATTTCTGTTTTAAGGTAAATTTTTTTTTTGCTACCTGAAACAGAAAAAGAAACTCAAGTCATTTAAAAACTTTTGTTCATCTCTTTTTGACACAGTGAGAAATGCTTTGTATTTTAATTTTAATTTCTATATTTTAAAACAAAATTCAAATAACCACTTGTTTATTGTTCTTTAATACCCGTTTCCAAAATGAAAATCCAATGACTAAAAGATACACACACATCTTACTCTCTTATCAGGGCATATATCTATCTTTTTTGCGCATGATATAAGTGTGCAGTGTGGTGGACATAATATTTCTTAATGCTGGTTTATTACCCTGTGAATGTTTAATCGGGAGTGTTATAAATGTGTTCTTGTAGCATAAGTGCACAAATTTTTTTCTTTTTCTTTAATATGTGCGTGCATGTTTAGAAACTGGTTTGTCATGTGTGATTTGTCAGCAGTCAGCTCATGATTTATTGGTCTCTGATTTTGCAGAAAGGCTTACATCAGTGGACTTTTCCAGCAACTGCAATTCGTGGAGTGAGGTAAAGAGTTTCACAGCATGCGCAAACATCTCCCTCTCTTTCTCTCTCTCTCTCTGTCTGGGTGTGTTTGAACCGACAGCAAGAGCCAGAGAACCCACAACATCAGGGTTGTCTGGGAAACGTTGGCTCGCTGTCAGATTTCTGCTCTGTCAATATGGCTTCAGATTAGTCTTTTTTTTAAATGTTTTGTGCCTTTTTGTTATTTGTCCTTCAACGACTAACCAGTGTCACCCTTGTTTGCATATTTTCCATTTAGGTTATTTGCACCCTAATAACTAAAACCAAGAGCCTCTGGGGTGTTAAACAACAAATACCTTGGGCCTGGGGTAGCTAAAAATTAATCTATGGTGGGCATGGCCACCGTTGGTCACCCCCTGGTACTGCCGTTACACCTGGTGTTGAATAAAATCTCTCCCTCTCTTTGCCAGAATCTGTCACTGCGCTGCCTCTTTTACACAGTGTATCCCCTACCCGTTTGAAAATGTGGCACCAAAATCAGTAAAGTTCACTTGCATTCCCCCGTTCAATTCCAGTCCAGGGGGAAAAAAAACACTCATTTCAAAAACGACACTTACTATCCAATCCCACAGCAAAATCAGAACATAAATATTAAATATTAGCTGTTTCTCCAAGAGGATGAAAAATGGTTCAACAGAAAAAGATAGTTCCATTCTCTCTGAAAATAATTTTTGCATCAACAAAATTAGGTTTGTTTAAAAGTTAAAGATACATACTAGATACTACAATCATCTGTATACATCTGCACCAAAGTATATTATTGATGTTTTAACTAACCACATATGTAACTCCAACTGGAGATCCTCAGATAAAGCACTTTTTAACTTTACAAAATCCCACCAAGGATCCTCCTTTTTAATTTTTTTAGGAATGACCTTGAAGAGATTAGGCTCACCTAACTGCTGTTAAATTTTCTTTTAAAGATGGTTATGTTAGAATGCCTTCACTAATTTGTTACTTCTGTTCCCTTTAGACTCCACCTAAACTGTGTTATTTTTAAATTTTTATTACTTTCTTTAGTTTCATGGTTGTATTTTAGTATCTGATTATTATTTCTTTTATTAGGGTTACCTTATTGGTTTCATTGTGTTTTTATGTTTTAAACGTGTTATTTGCAAATAGTTTTATGTCTATTAAGTTGTTAAGCACTTTGTTACTATGTTTAGAAAGGCGCCATATACAGGTGCTGGTCATAAAATTAGAATATCATGAAAAAGTAGATTTATTTCAGTAATTCCATTTAAAAGTGAAACTTGTATATTATATTCATACATTACATACAAACTCATATATTTCAAATGTTTATTTCGTTTAATTTTGATGATTACAAATGACAACAAATGAAAATCTCAAATTCAGCATATCAGAAAATTAGGCTGTGTCCAAAACGGCAGGACGGGTCCTCCGAAGGTCGAATTTGTCGGCCGCATACGTCATAGC